TGAACCCAGGGCCTTTGCATTGAATTACATCTCCAGCCCCTTTTATTTATTTAGTTTTCAAATTCTGAGACAGGGTCTAAGTCATCCAGACTGGCCTTGAACTTGTGATCCTCCTGCCTCAGCCTCCCATTGTATGGGGATTACAGGTGTGCACCGCTATGCCTGGCTGCAAGATACTTGTTAATAAGCCTGACAAGGAAAATTACACTATCACCCTTTTCCCATAGCAATGAGAATCTATAAAATGTTAACTTCTTAAGTGTTTTCAGAAGTGGAATCACATGAATTCTATCAAAATGGTTATTGAGATTGTTTGATTTGAGCAGACTGGGAAGCCTACATAGATTTGCTGACTTGCAGACTATTCCCACTCATGCTTACCAGGTGGCTATTGATGACGTTAAGCTCCTTTATCACTGTGCTCAGATCTTCATGGAGTCTAACTATCGCACTTTTTACCTCCCCAAGAAGAACTTTAATGGAACTGTTTGGTTCAGGTTCCCTAGGCAGGTTCCCTTTGGTTGGCTGCAAACTAGAACAGGACATGGAGGGAATGTTGTCTACATTTTGGGTGGGAAAAGCTACCCAATTGCTGCTGAAAATATGACTTGTCTTATTTTTAGCAGACTCAGAGTTAGCTGGAAGAATTTCCAGCATGCTGGCATTGTCATTTTCCTCTTCATCAGAAGACACCAGGCTCCTAGGGGTGAAGGGGAGGTGGACACTGGCTGTCTTGTCTCTATGCTTAATGGAGGCAGAAGACCACTGTGGATGTGGCAGAGCCCAGAGGAAAGGTCTGGGCAGATCCAGGGCTAAGTGGAGAACTGGCTTCTCTGGAGGGGCTGCATCAGGAGGTGACACATAGGTAGCAGAAAAGGAAGATGTTCCCTCAGAGGTAGGTGAAACTAAAATGAATAATGAGAGAGAAAGATTTATGTAACATACAAATGAGAGTAATAGCATAATTTTATAATGTAAAAGTCTATCTGGAAGGTCTCAATATAAACTATTTAGAATTTTAAATGTTAAATATTCATAATAAGCCTTAAAAAATCCAAAGCAGGAAACTGAGAAAATCTACAGATGTATTATATATCAATAATACCATGGAGATGAACCTAAAATAGGATTATCAATATTCATCTTGATTCCCAAACCCTGTCCAACATATTTTTACACTACTGTAAGCTTCATCAGAGAGAAAAGCATTAAACCTCATTCTACTGACTCGCAGCATTTTAAGTTGGTATTTAAAGTAAAAAGTCTGAGAAACCTGCAACATAGTATTTCATCCCTCCAGCCCGCAAAATTATTATGACAAAATGTACCAACGAACGAGAAACACCCAAAAGTGAGTGCAATCAATCTTTTCCTCTCTGTGGTCAAATACAATCAAAACTGAAAATCTGGGCTGGGGATTTAGCTCAGTGGTTCCGCTGCCTGCCTCACAAGCGCAAGGTCCAGAGTTCAATCCCCCATACCAAAAAAAAAAAAGCTCCAAAACTGAAGACCAATCCATCTGAGATCCTCACATATAATCATTTTTCTTACCAAGAAACTATAAGTAACATAACAAGTATTCTAAACTTGTTTTCTGTAAAGATTTGAGAAAAATTTACTTTCAGGCAAAAATCATATTAAATGTCTTGCCTCATACTTCATCCTAAATCATTATTTCCAAAACTCTTCTGAGGGAACAGTGTGTTCCTTAAGATGTTTTGTAAAACAGGGCTATGTAGTCAAGTAAGGCTGGGCAAATTGCACACTGTGCCATATGTCAGGACATTAACTGGGTCTATTAGCATACTTAAAATTCTTTTTTTTTTTTTGTACTGGGGATCGAACTTGGGTCCTTGCGCCTGCATAGCAGGCAGCGAAACCACTGAGCTAAATCCTCAGCCCAGCATACTTAAAATTCTGAGAAATCTACAGTATCTTATTCAGGTGATAAACCTCTTTCTTAAACTCAGAACTTTTTGTTCTTCATGGAATATCTATTTGCATTCATTTATGGATACACGGTGAAAGGTGGTGAAAGCTAGTCCTCTAGCCTCTGTGACTCACTCTGAACTTGATACTTTAGAAAGACTTATTCATTACAAGTCATAGAACAGGAAAACTGATGCTTACCACTTAGCACGCATGACTTATCTGTATTGTCTTTTGCTCTACATATTCATGTCCTTTCTAAACTAAATTGGAACTCTTATAAAAATATGGCCAGGCCAGGTGGCTACTCTCTATTTTTTGCCTCTTGAGGGCCTTTGTGGCCCATCTCCAGTTCTCAGAAAAAATTCTAATCACAAAACTTTTGTGATGAAATGAATATTCCAAGCTGGTGCAGCATCAGGTCATGAAAGGGAAAGCAGGAACTTCATCACACGTGGTCAGGACAAGCCATGTACACTTCAGGATGTAGGTCAGGCTAATCTGGACATTCTATCCTTGGATAAAACAGATGCTACAATCCTAGTGGGCACACCAATGCTGAAAGCCTTGCATATTTGTGTCCCAAGTGACACTGCTATACTCTAACTTGGTGTGCTCTGGGTGTCATCTGACATGTCCCTTCACCACCCTCCAGGGCTATTTTGTATATCCAATGTCCTTCTCCTTCTTGGTTCACTCTCATTTTGTTGTATGTAGCACATTCTCCAGGAGGTCAATGAAAAGGTGGCATAAAAGGAAAAGGTTTGGGAACTTCGTGTCTGAAAATGGGCTCTACTTCTAGGCCTAATGATAGCTTGGTTAGATAAATAATTCTAGGCAGAAATTCTTTTCAGAAATTTGAAGGCCCTATTTTATCATTTTCTTCATTTCCAGTATTTAAGAGTTAGAATTATTTTAATTCTTATTAAGTGTATATAATCTGTTTGGGTTCTGAAGTATTAGAAATATTTTCCTCTTTGCCCCCAGTGTTCTGCAGCTTCTGAATGCTGTGCCTTTAAGTGGGACAATTTTCATTCATGGAGGTCAAGTGAAAATGCAACTCATTTCCTTCAGCTTCAAAAAATTCTCAAAGGATTTAATCAATTACTTTCTCCTCTGCGTTTTCTCTGTTCTCTCCTTCTGAACCTCCTCTTCTTCAGATCTCAGATCTCCTGGACCAGTCTTCTAATTTTTTATTTTTCTTTTCTTTACCATTTTTCCTACCTTTGCCTCTTTGCTCTACTTCCTTGGAGATTTTGTCAATTTTAGCTTTCAGTTCTACCACCGAGTTTCTCATTTCTGCTCTTATACATTTTAACTTCCAAGTACTTTTTTATTGTTCTCAGAAATTCTTGTAGCATCTTGTTCTTGTTTTATGGTTACACTGCATTTTCTTATTTCTTTGAGGATGGTAAAGGTAAGTTTTCTTTTCCCTTCATAGTGTAACTTGTTTCCCCCAAATTATTTTTCTTTGTTTTGCCACTATTCCATGTGGGAATTTTTTTCAGATGTCTGGTACTTCACGTCTGCTTATTATTAAGAATGGAGGATTAAAAAGCTGAAGGGAAGCTTTGACTGTATGGGGCTTGTCACCTTTGAGGCTCAGCGCATGGTCATTTAGGTGGGTTGTTAGGGAGCTACTAATAGTAATATCTTTTTTTTTTAATCTGACACGGTTCAGGTTCTTACAGGAATAATTTGCAGTTACTTGCCTATTAGGCAAAGGTCTAGCTGCCAATGTGCTTGGAGAGTAGTAGGGAAAGGAGGCTGCAGCACTGAGCCTTTGGTTTGCATAATGGCCACTTCTTTCTGTAGTCTAGGTTACAGCACCCACATCTCCATGATCTCTATCATCTCTCATTTCAGAAACCCTCCACAAGCTCTCTCTAGAAAATCATCTTCAAATTCCACCAGGGCCTAGGTGGGTGATGGGTATTTAGGGTAATTCCTCAGCTCCTTGGCAAGGAGAAGTCTATGGATTTAACTGCTTTTCAAATAGCTGTTTTCTAATTCTATTTAGTACCTGCTATAGTTAGCATGTGGATTATCCCTCACAGTTCATGTGTTGGAAGTGTGGTCCCCAGGAAGCTTTAAGCGGTGGGGCCCAGTGGAGATGCTGCCTTCAGAAGGGACTAATGCAGTTCTCACAGGGCCCAGGTTAGTTGCCACAAGACTGAGCTGTTATGAAAGAGCAAGTCTGAGCCCAGAACCTGTCTGTGGCCTCTTGTCTCACTGCGCTCCCACCATGATGCCATCCACTGTGTTGTGATGCAGGCAAGGAGGTGCTCACCAGAGCTGAACGGATGCTGGTGCCATGTTCTTAAATATTCAAAACTGTGAGCTAAACAAACCTCGTTTATTGATAAAGTATCCAGCCTCAATGTATTTTGTTACAGCAACAGAACACAGATTAATACAGTACCAGGTATGGAGAAGGTCTTATAACTCCATTTTAAATATGAGGCAAAGGAATCACAAAGAGATCTTTTCCAAGATCATAAGGCTGAACAGATGCAGATAGAGGATTCAAATTCAAGTATTTTCAGTGTCAAAGCATGCATATAATTTTTCTACTATCTTAAAATTATTTTTACTGTATTACAGAATAATCTTAAATTCTCAGTATAAAATTTAAGACAGGCAACCATGGTGGTGAGAGGACTTGACATCTTATCTATAATGAGCGGGTGACAGATACACTAATCTTTGTCCAAAAAAATGATGGTGGAAGAAAGGCCATATTTAATTATTTGAAGATAACCATAAAACCTTAGTAATAATATCATTTCTCTTCTTATGCATGAGTTAGAACAGTGATCAATAGTTGAAAGTTTTAGGAAAACACCTATTATCCCGATTAACAAAGGAGAACTTTCTAATAGTCATGGTCTGCGACATATGAAGCATGCTGCCTTGGGAAATGGAGACTTTGACTCATAGAGCTCATGCACAGCCTGAATGACTGGCTGGCAAGGGAGGCTTCATGAATCAGGTGGCAGAACTATGTCTCCATGAGACTCTAAGAGTCTTGGACCCACAACATACTTGCTAGAGAACTAAGAAACTATCCTAGAAATAGAACGTGAGTTCACTCTGGTCCAAAAGGAATATTTAATATGAAGTCTTTAAGTAGGTCAAGAAGAAAATAGTATTTGAGTCAAATGTTAACACAGTGCTATCATATACATAAAGATAATACAGTTGTGTTAGACACACACACACACACACACATATGATGTGACTGAAAATTCTGGTATTTACTTTATGCTACTAGTTCTCAAAATGTGGCAGCAGCAGCAGCATCCCCTCCAGCATTTATTAGAAATGAGGTTCTTGGGCTCCACCCCAGACCTACTGGAGAAAATGAAACTGGAGGCTGGGTCCAGGCAACTGAGTTTCAACAGGTATTTCTGAGGCCTGCTGAAGCTGGAGAACCACTGCTTCTACTCTGTCCACCTTTTTTGCCCTGTGGCTATAACTGCTGACTACATAGCTTGACGTTGTTTACAGTTCTGTAGCCTGATTCATAGGCTCTATGCTGCTTTTGCTCATAAAAGCCACTCATCTCTAATTGTGCACACCAATTTACTTTTGTTTCCAAACACGCCACAGCTGCACCCTACACTTCAAGCTGCTCTTCAGGATGCATCTCTGCTGTCCATTTGGTTTCCCTTCTCTGGCTCCCTACAGAAGTGGTTGGGTATCTTGTTAACATTCATCCTCTTCATCTATTCAACAGGGTGGACATGCAGTGAATATTGCAAATAAGATGTAATAAATGGCTACATCTTAAAATCTCACTGTGTAATGTATGCAGGACAATATGAAGCCTGGTTGAAGATACCACTGATAAAATCTTTCCAAGTGCTGACACGTTAGTTTTAATTTTTTATGTTCATAAATATCGGACCAGTTAATTAAGATATTACAGCTTTCAATTTAAAGAGCATGTAAAAGAATTGTGAGCAAATACATT